TGGAAATCAGAATAAATATTAGAGCTGCAACAATCACAAGTTACTGAACAGCTGACTGAAAGGACCGACTTGCAAATATGAGGATTTGTTTTGCTTTGTTTTACTTTTTGCTTGTTTTTTTTGCATCATATATGAATGTTACTGAAATATTTTTGGGTTTTGAAGCGTTGGTCAGATAAAAACAAGCAGTTTGAGCTCTGGGAAGTTGTTTCACAGACTGATGGGTTGACGTGAGACCGGAGCTCTCGAGCTAACCAAAGATCTGTTGTGTATCCAAAGGCTTTGCAGAAATAAAGGGATGCACGGCGAGTTACCTCTCTTTGTTGCTCGCTCGCTCTCCTCAGCCATGAGGCCCGCTGTCTCGGAGGTCAGCGCTATTGTGTGCAGCGCTATGTGCTGTCAGGGCCGAGCAGGCTGTGATTGATGGCGCTTACAGCTGCTGTGTGTGTGTGCGCACGGAGAAGCGAGCGAGCGAGATCTGCTTAAGGACAACTCTAGTACTCTTTCTGTCCTCCTCCCCCTCCTCTTATGGTTTTCAGCAGTGTTGAGGCTGACTTGTGAGGGGCTATAAATAGAGGCTGTGTGTTGTTGTTGTGTAGTGTGTGAGTGTTTGGGGAGGGGAAGCCCGTTTTGGGATCCAGCTGGATGGCAGCCAGGACTCTGCTGAGAGTAGGAGGAGAGGAGGAAAGTGTGAAGGCCCGGTCGCTCCAGCATTTAAAAATCCCATCAGTTCATCCCGCTAATTCTTCACTTCGGGTTCAACTTTACCAAACTTTGACGAGCGAATTCCCACCGTGGAGGCCTGCAGCTGCACACAATCTGTCATTCAGCTTTTCTTTCATCAACACGAGGCGTGTTCCTTATTAATAATACATTTTACTGAAGGTCAGCTCATCATCCTTCTGCTCAGAACACTTGATGCCAAACCGAGGATCACTTCAGATCTCAACAAACACGCACGAGGAAAATGAAGTCAGATCTTTTTTTCATCAACAAAATAAACATCTTTAGCGCTAATTCAAATGAATTAAATAAAACCTGGATTGAACATCTTGTTATAAGAAATGTTTTTGTTTGATGTCCGGCGCTACAAACCGGCAGCAGCCGGTTTTAGTTTGTGACTTGAACAACACGTTCACTCTGTGAGCATCAGATCGGGATGGTTACAGACTGACTGAAGCTGAGGGTCTGTGGTTTACAGACAGCCGTGATCGTTCTAAATGTTTGTCCAGCTCACGCACTGGAGGTTTCTGTGTGTGTGAGCATCACAAAGGCCGTTAATGATGTGGGTCTGTGTGTGAAGAGTTCCCACGGCTTTGCATATCACATGTTGCCCTATGATCTCACTAACATATGCACGCACACACGCGCACTCGGCCTGCCAGATGCCTGCGTGTGCGTGTGCGTGACCCCTGACCTTCGTGTCTGGAGCTCACAAAGGCTCTTAATAATTCGTATGTGGTCATTTTGCATAATAAAGTCTCTCGCGCACACAGAGTTTAGAGCCATTTGCATTTCAGACGAGTCCGTATCATTTCATCAAGGAGACTCGGGAGGTCAGAGGTCACACACTTTCACACACGCAGCGTAGACATGTTAATGCGTGTGATGTGATTACGTGTCTGAGTTGTTGCAGCTGGATGATGTGGGTGTGAATCCTCTCTCTCTCTCTAACAACACCACAGCTGTCTCTGTGAGCGGCGTACCGTATGGAAATGTGTGGCGTGCGCAGTGATGTGTGAGGCGCAGGTCAAAGGTCATGAGAACGCGCTGGATGTGCAGATGGAGAGATCTGAAAGGATAATCTGTCAAGAACATTGTTTCTTATTAATAAGTTCATATCTGCTAAATGTTGACGACACTGTAAACAAACTGTGGCGTGATGGAGAGCGGGGGTCACCGTGGAGACGTCGCTGTGAGGATGTTAACTAACCAATAACAGCTCGTGCTGTCTGCACATTGTTCCAGAGGTTCACACCCTCGCATGAGGCCCATAGGCATATAGATATATATGTAGTGTGTGAGCGACGGCTGACCTTTACCCCCTCAGATCAGACGGACAGATTGAGCCCTCGCAGGCCACCGTAGGGCCGTCACCATAGAAACGCCCCGTGCCATATGTGCATATCGCAGTGGTGGAAGTGTTTGATATTCACGCCGCGCAGTTATTTCTGGAGGCAGTGAGCTGAATGAGTAAGCAAGTTGGTGTGAGACAAACGTTATTCTGAAACTCTTTAAAATCATTTCCTGTTTCACATTAAAAGCTTTCTACTGGCCAACCACGAGAAGGCTTTTATTGTGAAGCAGCAACATGAAGCTTTATTTATCGCTGAAGTTAGCAACCGACTGCTAACTCCTTATCTGTCTCATCCTTCCCCTCGGGATGTTTTGGATGAAGGCTCAGACCTCCTGCTAAATCTAATCATATATTCTCTGATTCACCGCTGAAACTCTCTCGTTGCGGATCTTTTTATGCCCGTCGTTGGTCCTGATTTAGCTTCAGGGCAGAAGCTGTTTGCTGCAGACGTACTGAGACCTGGTCCCTCTGTGTCCCTGCAGCTTCTTGGTGTCTCTGCTCAGACGGTGTAGTTGTGGTTTGATGGTTTGGAGTTAGAGGGAAGCTGCTGTGGCTGGAAAAACACCACAGCCTGTTTAGATCTGCTCTGAGGTCAGCAGATGGTTTCTAACCCCAGACCAGAGGAGGTGGAGGCAGCCTGTGCCCCGAATCCAGATCTAGATCCAGGTGAGACTGTAGTTCCCAATGTTGACTTTACAGCTCAGTGTGAAAAATAAGCACAAACTACTCGTGTCTCTTAAAGGCGGCAGAACAAACAGACGTTAAAAGTTCCACCTCGAGAACTTTCCCAGGGGACCAAGAACCTTTTCAGGGGCTTCAGGAACTGGACCTGCACTTTTTAAAGGAACAAGGGATGGTTTCAGCTAGCAGCTCTGTGAGGCTGATGGGAAAGTCTTTAGTTCTGCAGCTCAGAAAGCAAAGTGTTGACCTGATGGTGGCGCTGGAGGAAAAGTTATCCCAGTTCATCCTGAGGGGACCATAAAGGTCTGAACCACATTTCATCACAACTTTTTGAGCAGTCATACTCTCAGGTCAAACAGCTGGCTTCAGTTTAAAGTTTCTGCTGTCAGATCAGAACTGGTAAATCCAGCCGGCTGCAGAATCAATATACACCGTGTATTGTATTGTTGTACCTAACGTTGTTGTTGTTATCTGATCGAGCCTGCTGTCTTGACTCGGTCTCACTTGTAAAAGAAGTTTCGATCTAAATGTGACTTCTTAGTTCAATGAAGGTTAAGAAGAAACAGGATGGAACTGTTTGTTGTTGTGTCTCCAAACACAAACAGGATGAACACATGGGACACCTCATTAGGGGTGGGAATCACCAGAGGACCCGATACGATATTATCGCGACAGTTATGTCACGATACGATATCATTGCTTCAAATTGTGTCCCCAAAGAAAAGCTCTTCTTCTCGTGGACTGAAAAAGCAACTGAGTTCATTATTTTAGTACTAAAAAGTAAAATTCTCATGTACAATTCATATAATAAAAGATCGATACTTGACCTCCGTGTATCGATACGATGATGCCACGGAAACTATCGCGATACTCTGCTGTACCCCCCCCCCCCCACCCTACACCTCATGTTAATAGGTCTGAACTGTCCGTTTAAATGCAGGCAGGGTTTTCACAGGCCGACACATGTTAGTGTGTTCGTGTGTGTGTTGTTTCAACAGAAGTGGTCTCGGCTTCCTGAACTTTCTTTAACTCGCTTTTTAATCAAAAAAGAAGTTGGACTAAATGTCAAGTGAAACACACACTGACAGCTGCCCGGCCCATTGGCTCACAGGTCTCCATGGTGACCAGTCGACGTCCAGAATACTGATGAGCTACCGCTAACTGCTAACAGTACTGCAGAACTCCTGTGTGCATGTTAGAGTACTACAGAGTACTACTGCAGTACAGTTAGTAGTAGGCATCAGTACTACCTTAGTGATTGTCAGTGATCCCATCATGCAGCAGGTCTAAACTGAGATGCATGAATTACCCCGGGCCCCTTTCTGACCTTCAGACTGTAGTCGGGTCCCTCTTGGTTCTCTGTAATGGATCAGGACTCAGCTCACTTATAGAAGCAGTACTTACTGTTACTGTACTACTGTCAGCTCACAGCTGGGGAGGGGGGGGCAGTGAATACTACCACATTTCCGGTTGCCTAGCAACAATTCGTGCACAGATTGGCTGTAACATCTGTCACCATGAACGCTGCCAAACCTGCTCTGTCTGCTCATCTTCATCTTCATCCTCAGTCAGTTTCAAACCGTCCGTCTCTTCTTCTCTTCCTGCTCGGTTCCTCAGGGCTGTGAAGTACATTTACTCAGGCGCTGTACTTCTCTGAGATATTGTACTTTGTATGTGATCGTGCAGTGACTTTGTAGATTATCACCGACGTCACACGCACACACGAAGGCGACGTCACGTGTTCCTTGGCGTGTTGATGTTTTTTTATTTGTTTTAAGCCGACACCATCGGCGCCGCTGCAGGAAGTGGTGTGTAGAGAGGAGGGATGACCTCGTTCTTGTGTGACCGCAGAGGTCAAAGGTCACATCTGGCGGCCATAACTTCCTGCAGCTCGGTGTGTGTTGAAGCTCCAGTTACCTGAAAACACCTCCTTCTCTCTCTCTCCCTGTGTCTCAGGAGGAGAAGAGCGAGCGAGGGTGTTGAAAAGTGAGATGGAGGGAGGAGGAGAGACAGAAAAAGTGAAGGAGAGGTGAAAGGTGGAGCTAGCGAGGGAACGAGCTCCTCACCTGTTGCCGTCGTCTCATTATGCCTCCTCTTTCTTCTTTGCCTGCTTTGATAAGCGTGATGACGCACTAATGGCGTTTCTGATAGTCGCTGCCGAGGCATCCTCGAGGCCTACAGCAGCTTCACTTCCTCCAGCGGGGAGGCGAGGACTGTGTTATGACTGTCTGTGTCTCTGCAGGGCTGAGCCACGGGGAGGCCGACACCAGGGAGTGTTTGTACTACAACGTCAACTACGAGATCGAGAAGACCAACCAGAGCGGGCTGGAGCGCTGCGAGGACGAGAAGGACAAGCGCTCGCACTGCTACGCCTCCTGGAGGAACAACTCGGGCTCCATCGAGCTGGTGAAGAAAGGCTGCTGGCTGGACGACTTCAACTGCTACGACCGGTACAACACACGTGTCCTGCATCCCTGAAAACACTCAGTGTTCACATTTCCACATCACGTTTATGGTTTCACACTGGGCCCTGATTGGCTCCAAAGTAGTCGTGATGTCATAAATCCTGCAGGTTTTCAGCCTTCCCTGAATCAGGGGGCAGAAAGAACTTCAGCCTGATCCATTACTGACCGTTAGCTCGTCAGGCTAATGCACCACATCACAACATGCTGTGCTGCAGAATCAGAGGGAGGTTTCTTATTTACCCTGCTGCACGTTTGTGCCTGTGGTGGCAGCAGTCATTTGGTTTTTATATCTTTATTTTATTAGCTAATACAAAACTAGTAACATGTAATCTGGTTTCTGGATATTTCTGGAAGAGAAAGTGTCATTTTCAGAGTTTTCTGAATCACAAACCTTTGAGGATGTCGCACACTAAATGTTTCAGATGACATCGTCTGCATCAGAGGTCTTCAGCTTCATGAACAAATGTTCCAAATGTACAACTTCATACAAGCAGATTAATCAGTCATGTTGAAGCCACCATGTTCCACTTCTTCAGACTTTGGACTTGATGTGGAAATGAGACGAGTCCACAGCCACGTCCAGTCTAATCAGCCTTATTGGGCTAAAGCTTCTGAAGAAAGCTGAAGAAAGCGTTCACAAATAAAGTCCTCGTGTCAGAATGATTCCCTGAAGTCTTTTTTTGTTTTCAAAGTTATTAACTTCCAATTTCTGACATTTCCAAGAGCACACAAAGGCAGCAAACAGTGAAAGTATTACAGAGTACACGTGGAGAACATCCTGCCAGTACAGCGAGAAGAGAAAGAGCAAAGATTCAAACATATTTTAGAGCTGCTTTAATAACAAGTTCATCTAAAAGACCCAAACGGAGCTGCATGAAAGGATGTGTTCAGGGCAGATCGCAGGAATCCTCCTCCGTCTGTTTTTCCTCGAGTGTCAGAGTTTTTCATGCACATTCACATTCAGACATTTCGTGCTCCGTCCAGAAGGAGCTGCAGTTTCATGGATCAGCAGCTTCACAAGCGACCGGCAGCAGCGCGAGGAGGAGTGCAGCACTTTACACGATGCTGCTACTTCTGCTCTCCTCAATAACCAGGCGTGAAAGATCAGTTCCAGAGACTAGAAGAGAAACGTCTCTTTTAAAACGAGGAGCTGAAGACGTTTCCCCCGACACAGCTGAGAGGCTGCGCATTTCCCTCCAAGGCTTCAGGAACAAACCTGCTATTTGGGTCAACCTGCTGCCAGACTGGCGGCTGGATTACTCAGCGCTCCCCAGACGCCGGCTGATTGGCAGCTCTGCCGGTAAGACTCCCTCGGCAGTTTAGACTACGGCGAAGAAGACGGACGGAGCGGAGCTCACCGTACCCGATCTCCAGAGCTGCCAGAGAAGCTTCACGCTAACATTACTACCCAGCAGATAAAGACAGGAGAGCATCTGTCACCACAAGACGCCGCAGTGCGATGGAAGTCGAAGCTGATGGTCTCAGCAGCTCCGATAGCAGCAGCGTAGCAATAGTAGTAGTTTGAGTAGTAAAAGAAGTCGCAGTGCTGGTTGTATTAATACTAGAAGTTGTACCTGCAGGGGTAGTAGTAGTAGCAGTAGTGGTAGTGGTACTAGTATCAGCAGTAGCGGTAGTAGTATCAGTAGTAGCAGCAGTATCAGTAGTAGCAGCAGTATCAGTACTAGTATCAGCAGTAGCGGTAGTAGTATCAGTAGTAGCAGCAGTATCAGTACTAGTAGCAGCAGTATCAGTACTAGTAGCAGCAGTAGTATCAGTACTAGTATCAGCAGTAGTATCAGTACTAGTATCAGCAGTAGTATCAGTACTAGTATCAGCAGTAGTACTAGTATCAGCAGTAGTACTAGTATCTGTAGTACTAGTATCAGCAGTAGTACTAGTATCTGTAGTACTAGTATCAGCAGTAGTACTAGTATCTGTAGTACTAGTATCAGCAGTAGTACTAGTATCTGTAGTACTAGTATCAGCAGTAGTATCAGTACTAGTATCAGTACTAGTATCTGTAGTACTAGTATCAGCCCGGCTTTCTGGTCCTCGTCCTCCTCACAGAGAGATGAGGGGAAAGTGTGGGGTCATGTGAGGACAGGCTCGGCCCTGGTATCCCAGAAGGCTTTGCTCTGTCGTCACCAGGATTAGCGAGCGCTCCCTTTGTTCTGTTCCTGGAAGGACGGACAGGAGAGGATGATGGGAAGGAGGAGAGAAGGAGCGGGAGGGAGCGAGCGGCGATGGAGGATCCTGCTGCTGCTGCTGCGCCTGAAGGTGTAGCGGAGGGAGGCGGGCGGCTCTGGACCGACGCTGGACGAGCTCCAGCTGCTGCTTGATGAACGAGACGTCAGAAAGCTCCCCGTCTCTCTTATCTCGCTCAGACGCTGAATATCTCCTCGGCAGAAGCTGCTACCTCATCAATAAATCTCTTTTTTTTCATCCATTATCAAATTATTTATATATATTTACACACTCATTTCCTTTTTCTCACAAGTGATTGTCTCGATTACGCAAAACATTTAAAAAACTTAGTCTGTCTGTCTGACCGGGTCCTCTCTCCGTCTCTCAGGCAGGAGTGCGTGGCCACAGAGGAGAGTCCTCAGGTCTTCTTCTGCTGCTGCGAAGGAAACTTCTGCAACGAGAGGTTCACACACCTGCCTGACGCCACCGGGCCGCGTGAGTTTGTGTCACGTCTTTCCTCCGTATCTTTTCTAATCATTTATTTGTGCATTTGAATATAAATAAATAAATGTTTGTTTGTGTGTGTCAGTGATCAAAGCCCCGCCCCACGGCGTCGGCGTGTTAAACGTGATGGTTTACTGCCTGCTGCCCGTCACCATGCTGTCCGTCGTTCTGCTCACCGCCGTCTGGATGTACCGACACCGGAAACCTCCGTACGGACACGTGGACCTCACGGAGGTACACGCCCCCTAAACCTCCCTCCTTTATTTAACCAGGTCTCTGTTTCCAACACTGTTGGTCTTTGAATTAGACGTGCATGCAGATAATACTGCTGAAGTCCAGCTCCGACATAAAGGCTGCAGCAACACGCCTCCTTTTGCTCCGCCTCCAACTGCTGAATGTGAGAAGAGAGAATCATCAATTAGGAGATATTTGGACTGAGATACAGAGTCGGTGTCAGAGCCCTGGAAAGTACTAATGATCCTGCAGGGGGAAGGAAAGGAGGGAGGGAGGGAAAGGAAGGAAGGAAGGAAGGAAGGGAGGGAGGGAGGGAGGGAGGGAACATTGACCTCATGTTGAACGTCTACATTTGAAAGTGGTGACACGGTGTCACGGCTCCCTCTGGGGGCGGGATGCTGGTACTGCAGCTGTTTGTCTCTCAGCTGCAAACAACAATGAAACAAAAGCACATCCAGTAAATACCAACAATAAACATCAGCGGGACAGAAATATATGTGAGCTGTTTTACTGCGTGTTCGTTACATCCAGTGTAGCTGTTGAAGTAACCATCAGAGCAGGGGCGCCACTTCCTCTTAAAACACCTGACGTGCACTTCCTGTGCTCTCTGACGTGCACTTCTTGTTTTGACTGCACTGTTTCTGTAACTCTTACTTCTTCAACAGCTCTAACTAGTATTTATTATCACTGTGGATAAAAGTGTAAATGTAACTATATTAACTCAAGTACACTATTTAAGTAGAACTTGAAGGTACTTTTACTTGAGTATTTCCATTTTATTCCTGTTTTTCTCTTCATTTACCCGCTAGCTTTAGTTACAGGTGAAGGTTCTTAGTAAAAATCAGTATGGCGATTGATTGATTTTTAACCTTTGATGCCAAAGCAATCGGCTAATCATCTTCTGACCTCTCACAGGACACCAGTGTGCAGCCGAGTCTCAGAGTCTCTGACACGTTTGAGTAATTGAATGCAGCAGAATCAAAGATATTCTGCATGTTATAACTATAGTGATGAAACCAAACCCGGCTCTCCTCTCCGTGTCCTCCAGGATCCCGGTCCTCCTCCCGGCTCCCCCTTGGTGAGTCTCAAGCCTCTGCAGCTGCTGGAGGTGAAGGCCAGCGGGCGCTTCGGCTGCGTCTGGAAGGCCCAGATTATGAACGAACACGTGGCCGTCAAGATCTTCCCCATTCAGGTTCAGCTGTTTTCTCGCTGATCGCTCCTCTGTGTGCCGTTTATATGTCTGGAACCGGCTTCATATCCCCTCTTCATCCTCCTCCTCCTCTTCCTCCTCCTGACAGAATAAGGAGTCGTGGCAGAACGAGCGAGACATGTTCCTTACTCCAGGTATGAGGCACGAGAACATCCTGAGGTACATCGCTGCAGAGAAACGAGGGAGTCACCTGGAGGCCGAACTGTGGATCATCACCGAGTTCCACGAGAGGGTGAGGGAGAGGGGAGGGAGGGAGGAAAGGGGGGGGGGGGAGGAAGAGGGGAGATCAGCATTGCTACTTTTACAGCTGGGAATCGATGCGCCAGCAAATGTTACGTCTTCAACTGAGAAACTCATTCAATGCGAATCATTTTTTTAATTAGAAAGGTTTAATTTTTTAATTTGTTTAAATTAGAAAGGTTTAATTTTTAATTATTTTTTTATTAGACAGGTTTAATTATTATTTTTTTTTTTTAAGTAGAAAGATTTATTATTATTTTTTTTTTATTAGAAAGGTTAATTTTTTCATTTGTTTAAATTAGAAAGGTTTAATTTTTCATTTATTTTAATTAGAAAGGTTTAATTTTTTTATTTATTTTTTATTAGAAAGGTTTAATTTTTTAAATTTTTTAAGTAGAAAGATTTAATTTTTTCATTTGTTTAAATTAGAAAGGTTTAATTTTTTCATTTATTTTAATTAGAAAGGTTTAATTTTTTATTATTTTTATTAGAAAGGTTTAATTTTTTAAATTTTTTTAAGTAGAAAGATTTAATTTTTTCATTTGTTTAAATTAGAAAGGTTTAATTTTTTCATTTTTTAAGTAGAAAGATTTAATTTTTTCATTTGTTTAAATTAGAAAGGTTTAATTTTTTAATTTTTTTTATTAGAAAGGTTTAATTTTTTAATTTTTTTTTTAGAAAGGTTTAATTTTTTACATTTTTTAAGTAGAAAGATTTAATTTTTTCATTTGTTTAAATTAGAAAGGTTTAATTTTTAATTTTTTTTTAATTAGAAAGGTTTAATTTTTTAATTTTAGAAAGGTTTAATTTGTTTAATTAGGTTTAATTTGTTTAATTAGGTTTAAGTACTACTTACTTACTTAGAAAGGTTACTTTTTAATTAGGAAGGTTTCATTTGTAATTTTTTAAAGGTTTACTTTCTTATAGTATTTAATTTTTTTACGATCACGTGTGAGCTGACTGTGTGATTCAGAATGAAGAGTGTACAAACTGGGTCTCTCTGCAGGGCTCTCTGTCAGACTTCCTGAAGGGAAACATCATCAGCTGGACCGAGCTGTGTCACGTAGCCGAGTCGATGGCGTGCGGCCTGGCTTACCTCCACGAAGACATCCCCCAAAAGAAAGGAGAAGGACCTAAGCCGGCCATCGCTCACAGGTCTGCCCGCTTCTCCTGCTTTAGCTCACCGAAGGAAGTTTTAAGGTCACGAAGCTTCACCTGCCATTGTTCTGGAACTGTGTCGAGGGTTAGAAACTTTTCCACATTGTGTTAGTGGTTTCAGTGAAAGCACCATGCAACAAACAAACAAAAGCTTTCAGAGCGTCAGAAACTGTGATTGCAGTTAACGGTGTGAGAAAACAAATCTGTTTAGGTTTATATGTGCGTGTTATGTGTGCTGAATGTTGTTGAGCTTCACACACCTTTGAAATAATCGTCTGGAAATGGGTTGATGGAAGTTGACGGCACCAGCTCACATGTCAGCATGTGAAACGTAATTAATTTGTTTTAGAGGATAAAACATAAAGTCGGCTAACATGCTCTTTGATTCTCTATCTCTAACAAACACGTATTTATCTCTTCATCTCAGCAGCACTATTTTAATATCGATCGTGTTAAAAGTTGTTTGGTGGTGAAGTTAAGGGCAGGGGCTGGTTTAAAAAGACGTCTTCATGCTGCGTTTATGTGCCTGTAGAAAAATAGGAAACTGCTTGTATAGTTTGTCAAACAGCTGTTTCAGACCTGGTTTGATGTACTCGACTCTCTCTCTGTGTCTCTAAGGGATTTTAAGAGTAAGAACATCATGCTGCGTTCGGACCTCACGGCGGTGATCGGTGACTTCGGTCTTGCCGTTTCCTTCGAGCCGGGGAAACCACCTGGAGAGACGCACGGACAGGTGAGCTGCTCTGAGTTGTTGTTGTGGATGTGTTAATGCCCGACCTTAGACCACGGGAGCCAGGTGTTGATTCGCAAGGCATTGTGGGATATGTGAGGGGTTAGGAGGAGTTCAAGTTCAGCTCGCAGTTTGTCTCACTTATATTATTTTAAGAACACGACACAGACGAGGGTCTGAACATTTCTTGGGGTGCGTGTCTGCAGGTCGGGACCAGGCGTTACATGGCTCCAGAGGTTTTAGAAGGAGCCATCAACTTCCAGCGAGACGCCTTCCTCCGAATCGACATGTACGCCGTGGGTCTGGTTCTGTGGGAGCTGGTGTCCCGCTGCAGGGCTGCTGACGGTAACACACACACACTTTATCTCAAACACGTCCCTCCTGTGCAGCTGTGAAAAGCTGCCCTATTGTGAACTGTGATCTCAGGAATCGACAGGTGTGAAAGAAAAGCATGTGTCTTAATGAATCGTGATACACCCCGACTCTCGTGACGATACAGGTCCGGTGGATGAGTACATGCTGCCGTTTGAGGAGGAGGTCGGTCAGCATCCGTCACTGGAGGACCTGCAGGAAGTCGTCGTACACAAGAAGATGAGACCGGCCTTCAAAGAGCTCTGGCTCAAAACACAGCGTGAGTGTGTGCACACACAAACACACGCATTCACTCAGCGGCCACTTTATTAGGAACTCGTAGCTGAAGCCAGCAGTCCTGTAACAAGTCCTCCTTCATGAAAGTTACAGTGATCAGTCTGGTTTTCTGATCAGTGAATCTGTTTGTTGATGTCTGTGATCGGGCCGTTGTTTGTCTGGCCACGTTTGTTTGTCGTTCTCTCTGCTGAACTCAAGCCTGTCTAGATCTCAGTGAGATCACCGGATTAAATATCGGTCCAGAAAAATTGGGATATTTTCCAAAATTCAATGAAAACAAAATTCTGGGATTTGTTAATTCACATGAACCTTTATTTAACTTACAAAAGTACAAAGATTTTCAATAGTTTTACTGACCAGTGTAATTGTCCATCAGTCCGTCCGTCCGTCTTCAAGCGCCACATTAAGCAGAGCTGACTGATCCTGAGGCGTTCCCAGACCAGTGTGGAGATATAATCCACTTAGTCCTGGGTCTTCCCCAAAGCCTAGGCCTTCAGTGGCAACTCTAAATTGTTGTTGTTGTACTTGCAAAGACTGAGCCTTTGGCCATTAAACTGGGCAGTGAAACTACTGAAAATCTTTTTAAATATAGGTTCACATGAAATCATAGATTTCTTTTTGCATTTTGGAAAATATCCCAACGTTTCTGGAAATGGAGTGTGTATATTCTGGAGCATGCTGTTTCTATTATTTTGTCCACCTCATTTCTATCAGTGAGGGTGCACATTACAATACAGCGTTTTAATATTGGAACTGGGACACTGTGATTGACATTTATCAATATTTACTGCTGTTTTAGGGATCAATCTATTCATCAGTCAATCGAGAAAGTAATCAGCAAGTAAAAACTATGAAAAATATCATTATTTGTAGTCCTTAATAATTGTCTGCCTTTCACAATACAAATATTTGTTATAACAATTTAAATGTTTGTGCCTTTATTTTGAAGTCTCATAATATTCAGTGTATTTCCCTCCAAAGAAAATGAAAGTGTCACTTCTTTTGGTGCTGTGACGTTGTTAGAAAAGAGTCGTTGAGTTTGAAGGTGTTTCCTGGTGCTGCTGTCTGCAGGGCCTGGCTCACGTCTGTGAGACGGCGGAGGAGTGCTGGGATCACGACGCCGAGGCTCGATTGTCGGCCGGCTGCGTGGAGGAGAGGATCTCCCAGATCCGCCGCCTCACCGCCACCATCTCCCCGCCTACCTCCGACCACCACGCCCTGCTGGTCTCCTCGCTCGCGCCTGTTACTATGGTAACGAATGTGGACCTACCGCCCAAAGAGTCCAGTATATGAGGAGAAAATCTGAAGAAAACACACATAAAAAAACTTTTGAGGCCTGACGTTGCCGGTGATTTCCCTGAAGCTCGGTTCAACTTCCTGTGAAAACAACCGAATTCACAAAAACACACACACACACACACATCATCTTTTCTCAGCGGAGTTTTACAACCTAAATCACAAGTACGGCGTGAAAGCAGCTGCTATTTGATCTCTTTGGACTTTTTGGACTCTTATTCTTCTTTTCTTCGTCCATTTGGACAAATATTACCAGCACACGTCCTCGTTTTCCTCAAGTTTGCCTCAGTATTGAGTCATTTGTGTCTTCTTTTTTTTTTCCTTTTTTTAAAATTATATATATATATATATATAATATATATAATTTGTGTCTTTTTTTAACCGACTATGTGTTTTATGTGAAAACCAACATACACACATGGAAAACCCAACACTGAAACGCGTTCAGGTCCCGACTCAGTGAATGCTCTTCTTTCTCCAGGTACCTCAGCGACGACTTTCATTACTTTCGCAAATTTTTTACCATTTTCTTCGTTTATTCTTCTCTCTGCTGACTTCTTCTACTCGTTCTCTGGTTCGGGACTTATCCACCTTCCTGGCAACTCTGCAACCACCTACCATCAGCCTACCGTTGGGATTTATTTTACTACGATGCTGCAAAACCCTTGTAGGAACGCGATGACTGTTACACAACAAATAGCGACAGCGAACCTTACAACATTTGTTTTTCTACCTTTTCTTGGACTTATTTCTGTGACCACACACTACTATTCACACACGATAAATCTTCGGATCCAACGGGTTGTATCCAAAACACAGGAAACAGGAAGTGATGTCAGAGGGAAAGACGCGAAAAACAAAAATCAGAAAGACTGGACAGTGTCTGTTTTTAATGTTAAGGTTTCCGTTTTCTCTCTCTCGTTATTTGTTATAATTTGAGGTTCAAGACTGAGAGAAGTCTGACAGGATTGCTTTTCAGGAACCAGGAGGCAGACGTCTTGCATGCAGAGATTTGATTGGCTGACTGCGATCAACCACAGTATTTTGGTTGGCTCGGAAATAAAACTTCTCAGGTAACCAGGTCTACAGGAGGGGTTGGGGGAGGGAATTCGATGTGACGCGACTCCGGCCGCAAGTTTCCGCAGTCGGGAGAGGGCGGGGCCAACAACTGGTGGGAGTGGGCTTATCTGAGGGTGCTAAAAGCCTATTGGCTGTCCTGAATATGTAATTTGCAAGGTGCCCAAACAAGGGGAAACACGTTACCCTTGAAATGGTGCAAGACCTCATGATGCATAGAGTAGTTCATGCATTCAGGTCAGTTTGAGTGTGAGAGAGTGTGAGCGAGCGTGTGAGAGTGAGAGTGTGAGCGAGTGTGAGCGAGCGTGTGAGAGTGTGAGCGAGCGTGTGAGAGTGTGAGCGAGCGTGTGAGAGTGTGAGCGAGCGTGTGTGAGCGAGCGTGAGAGTGAGAGTGTGTGAGCGAGCGTGTGAGCGAGAACGGGAGTGTGAGCGAGAACGGGAGTGAGAGCGAGCGTGTGAGAGTGAGAGCGTGTGAGCGTGAGAGCATGTGTGAGCGATAGTGTGAGAGCGAGAACGTGTGAGCGAGCGTGTGAGAGTGAGAGCGTGTGAGTGTGAGAGCGTGTGAGCGAGAGTGAGAGCATGTGTGAGCGATAGTGTGAGAGCGATAGTGTGAGCGAGAGTGAGAGCGAGTGTGTGAGAGTGAGCGAGAGTGAGAGCGAGAGTGAGAGCGTGAGTGAGCGTGTGAGTGGTACAATGTGAACACAACAGTCACATGATGTGACTTCTTGTTTCTATTTTGATTTTTATACTGTACGTGCTAATTGTTTCATTTTCTCTGTCTGCTTGTGTATTTCCTGGAGGTGAGTGAAGCGCCTTTGACCTTTGACCTCATCAGTTCTGTTACCTTTCAACATCGCCACCTTCTGGTTGAGCAGCAACACTGCAGGAATCAGTTTAAAATCTGATTATAGAAATTCTTTTGATTTATTAGCTCTGCGATTGTCTTTAGCTCATTAAAGGACACATGCCGTGTATGTATATCAGTCACGTTCAGACTCAAACCATCACTGACTGTATCACCCGTCCAGCATTAAACCCATCAGTGACCTTCACTGCTGCACCATTAACACACACGCTGTACTTTATCACAAAAACTCACGAGAGCACCGGATGTGGATTCATCCGCCTCTGAAAATAGTCCCCTGTCCGATAGAAACCACACCGATCAGCTGCTCCAGGAAACTACTGAGCCTTTTAAAACATGAAACTGTTTATCTCTGAAGCGTTTTTAAAGATTTACGCCTTCAGGAGGAACAAATGGGCTCCGAGCTCAAAGCCGTAGACAGGATGTCAGACATGTTGCTAGTTTGAGTCTAAACATAAGAAACATGGAAACCAGAATGATCTTTAAATTAGGCTCACTGATGATGTGAATGTGGAAGCTTCCATCGTGTTTGACTTTTGCCAGTAAGCCCCGCCTCCTCCAGTATATTTCTAAAGAACATCACTGATTCTGTGGTGTTGCAGCCTGGTGGTTTGCACAGGTTAAAGGTCATCAGTCACCTCCTTACTTGCCTCTTAACTTGTTTTTTTTTCCTTTAACCGGGACCAAACCTGAGGCGTCCGTGTGTTGCCTCAGAAACCGGCTTGAAAGAGGCCAGTGGAGAAACGGGCTTCATTCTTTGTGTTAAAACACGAGCGTCATTGCTAACAATAAGACCTGGAAACAAAATGATGTTTTTAATTGTTGTATTTGCATGTTTTTGTGTTTATGTCCCTTCTGTGATGCCATACATGTAACAGTGAATGTCTACGATGATGCTGCTGCTCACCATGATGATGATGATGATGATTCAAACTCAAAGATGAATATATTTCTGTATATTCCTTTTTTATTAATTTGACTTTCGGTGCATTGAACACATGCAACTCTGTCTTTGTACGAAGTCAGTGAGGCGAGAGGAGGCGTTTGAGGAGCGTCGGGCGTTCGGGCGCGTGAAAGAACGACGACTAATAAACGAGTGAAAAGATGGAGAGAAAAAAAACGTCAAAACAATACTGCTCATGAACCACAGATCACCTCAGTACACCAGAAATACCTCAGAAGACTTTTCTAAGTGTTAGTTTCTATATTTTATTAGTTGCGTTAATAATGACTTGTAGTCACATAATATTTTATCGTGAGCTTTTTATTCTTTGTTGTTTTCTTTGACTCTTTGATTAGAGAGGTTAATTTTTTTACTTTACGTAAAATCTCCAAACTGATTGAAGAAGGAACGCCACCAGGTCACAGCGAGACTCGAACCTCTACGTTGTAAATAGTTAGTGTTTTTTTTTTTTTTTTAGACTGAACTGAACTGCCGATATCAGAAAAGCACCTGGACTGAGCTGGACTACTTCATCATCCTGTCTCCTCGTGACCTTCCTTCTCTTTGCAAACCTCCCTTCACCTTTCGTCTCCTCCACTTCACTTATTGTTTCCTTATTCCTTCTCTCGTCTCCTTTCTCAGCCTCTCCACTCGTGTCTGAATTGAACTCTTACCGCTTGTTTCCTTTCCTTCTATAATCTCTGCTACCTCTTTCCTTTCCTCTTCTCATCTGTTTGTCTTCTTGTCTCCTTTCTTGTTTTTGTCTTCACCTGACAAGACTTTGGCATCCTTTTTCTCTGTGATCACGCCAGCTTTTCTTTTACCTTCTCGTCTTTTCACTTGTCCTTTCCTCACGTTTTTCTTTTCTTTTATCTCTTTACCTCTCGTTTTGTCTTCTCTCATTCCATCAAATGAATCCTCGTTTCTTTCATTCCTCCACTCTTTATTCTGTCCTTCATCACCAGCCTCCACCTTCACGTCACTTCCGTCCTTCCTGTAAATGTAAAGTTTTCCTGCGCATCACACCACAGGACATTTATATGACAATACATTTAGAATAACTGATTCAAACTAAAGGAAATGGTCGATTAAAGGAACCAAACTTGTGTTGGGCCTCGTTTGACTCTGGATGACACAGATCTTAAGATATTTAATGCTTGCAATAATTTAAACTCTTGAAACAGTATTCTGAATGTATTTTTGAACCCTTATCCACTTCGACGTGACGCATAACCTTCACAGACGATGCTGACAAACAAAGGAACTGACTCAGATCCAGGTGTTTCCAGGTGTTTTCAGGAACATATTACCTCATTAGAGCCACACAGGCAGAAACGGTATGCGAGGTCCGCGACGTTGGGAAGACTAGGGCAACGTTATCGTTCAGGGTTTCGGGAGGAGAAACGCAGGATCCTTCTCACATGCATGGACTAGAAACCAAAATCCTTAACAAACAGCTCACCTGTCGTTCACATCAACATTTTAAAGGAAACATTGACCAGAAACATGTCACACTGGGGGGGGGGTTAAAAAATCTGTCAGCATTGTTAGCATCACACAGTGACCAGTGGCTAAAACAAAAAGGGGGACCAATGTGTTGCTAACATTGCGCTCATTTTGAACAGCAGATGTTTCCCCTCATGAGGTGACGTTCAAACTGAGGCAGAAAATAACTATTTAAATATACGGATGTTCTTTCAATTCATGTCAATAAAGTCTCTCCAAAACTCTTTTTTCAACTACAGATCATGTAAACAATTTTAACTCAGAGTTAGCGTGCACTGTTAGCATTGAGTTGGCTAACGCTACACAAACCCTCTGAGGAATAACTGCTACCTTAGAGTCTTTATGGTGACTAAATGTACAGCGAGCTGTGAAAAGAGACGACTCAGAGTGAAGGATGTTATCTGCCGGATCAAAGTCAACATGGCGGCACTTCATAAAGGAAACGCTGTTGTCGTCTGAGTCCTCCTGCTCAACTTCATTTACATTTATTCATTTAGCTTTTGCCCAAAGCGACTTACAGCTGCTATATATGTCAGAGGTCGCACCCCTCAGGAGCACCGAGGGGCCAAGTGTCTTGCTCAGTCTTATCCACTAAGCCACTACTCCCACCATCGTACACTGGACGTTTCAGCTGACAGAGTTTGGTCCTATAATACAACCGGTACTAAAACTACCATACCACCAAGGTCATTTACACAAACCTGTTTTGTTACCGTCTGAATCAGTGGCCACTTAATTAGGCGCACCTGTACAATCTAATCCAGTCCAGCATGCAGCAGATGTCTTTATGAAGCTTGGTGACGCTGTCAGAAGTGAAGTCAGAGTTAAAGCTGAGCTTGTAGGTGGCAGAAGGTGATCCCAGCTAACATTGGGCGTGAGGTAGGAGAGGTTTACATATTACATATAACACAACAGGGCTTTTATTTATCCTACAGTGTGATGATGGCGTTGTTTGGCTGCGATG